ATTATTATTATTATTATTTTTATTATAATTATTATTATTATTATTATTATTTTTATTATTATTGGTTTAGTTTTTACCTGCGACATTCCCTTGACTGCGTCCATATTAAAAGCATAGTGTGACAACAGATCTCGAGCCTTAACATTTAACATCAATTTTATTCTTTTCTAGGGAATTCTTTTATGAAAAAAATAATCTCATTTATATATGGGAAAATGGAAAATTCCCCAAAAAACATGTAAATCTGAGTAGTTCCCCAAAAGCATGGGAATCTGGTGAATTTCCCTAAAAAATGGAAATTCGGGGAATTACCCATAAGCATGGGGATCTGGGAAATTCCCCAAATACCTGCGAATCTGGGGAATTCCCGATACGTCGGAATCTTGGGAATTCCTCAAAATCATGGGAATCTGGGGAAATTTCAAATATCAACAACATCAAATTGCAAAGATATAGATAAAGGTAACAAATATAGATTTTTACCTTCTTGATTAACCCTGTATCCTGGGCAGAGTAGAACTGTAGGTGGGCACCATACAGATGGGATAAATACCTGCACATTTCTTATTTTAGGGTTAATTTATTATCCTTTTTTAAATTTTATTACCATCTTAATTATTAAATTTTTATCTTATTTCAATATTAATTTTGTTATCTCAATTAATCTTTAAATTTATTGTCTTACTTTTATATTAATTTATTATCTTTTTCATTATTACTTTATTATCTTATTTCATGTAATTTAGGGCGCTCCACACCCATCCTCTATTTTGACTTTTAATTGTGGCTCTATCTGTGAGCATCTTCCCTTAGTACAGTACAGTATAAAAAATCAATTCACGAAGACATGTAGGGATTATCAATTTATCTCAAATAATAGAGTTATCCCACTCAACTACTTAACATATTTTTCCGATCTGGCAAATATATTAAGGCTGAGCGATAGCTCAATAAATCAGGCTCAATTAATTAACATCCATCATCAATAACATTTAGGATTTATTAATTGAACTCATCAGAGTTATTCCCCTCACTCCCTTAATGTATCTTTCCTAACTGGCAAACACGCTAATAGTAAGGGAATAGCTCAATAAATA